ATATATATATATATCTGTGTGTGTGTGTGTGTGTATGTATGTATAGAGAGAGAGAGATGATCGGGCGATGAATCTTTTTTCGATAATGACATCTTAAAAAATAAAAAATATATATATACATAAATCATAAAATCAAGCATAGTACTATATCGGAAAGAAAAAAAATTGAAATTTATTTTTTTGGATCATTCAAATTAAATCATGGATCATTTCTATGATCCATGATTTAATTTTATTGATTTAATTTTTTTTCTCCAATATAGTACTATGCTTGATTTTATGATTTGTATTTTTTTCAATTTTTTTAAGGTGTCCTCACTGGAAAAGGAATCATCATCATACCAGACCTTATATATATATATATATATATATATATATATATATATATATATATATATATATATATATATATATATATATATATATATATATATGGCTTGGTTATAATGTGGATGTACAATTATTGTACGGACGTATGGACAATGCTATTTTACAAGAATTACTAAAAAATAAGTTGTTTAGTAATGTGAATACATTCAATCTTACACAATTATTGTCATTTTCATGCATTCTCACTAATTCTTATTTATTTTTGTTATCACATATCGTTTTTCATTCATTTTCATTCTTACAGAATACAACTTAATAAACATCCTGGCAACATTCTGATAAAATGAAGAAAAAAAAAGGCTTATAATAACCTTATAAATGATTTAATTGGTGAAAATGCGTGATAATAACAATAGTTATGTAAGATTGAAAGTATTTACATTATCAAACAACATATTTCATTTATCATTCTCACAGAATAACACTATCCACACGTTCGCACAATAAATGTCAATCCATATTTGAGCCTAGCTCTCTCTTTCTCTTTCTCTTTTTCTCTCTCTCTCTCTCTCTCTCTCTCTATATATATATATATATATATATATATATATATATATATATATATATATATATATATATATATATATATATATATAGCGGTTAGTGAATATACATTACAGCCCCACCTAAGCTTAGGTACCAAACCTCTAAAATATGTCGTTTTAACATGCAAAGTATACCCGGTTTAGTTTTACTTGGTAAATATATATTTCTCCATAACATTTCTTTCTTTCATTATCGTTTTATCATCTCCGTTTTCTTTCCTCAATTATCGTTTATTACTTCATCCAAGTGAACATTCCTAAACCTAAACCCTTAATTTAAACCCTAAACACTAAAGCTAAACCCAATACCCTAAATCTAAACACTAAACCCTAAACCCTAAACCTTAAACCCTAAACCCTAAACCCTAAACCTTAACCCTAAACCCTAAACCCTAAACATAAACCTAAACCCTAAACCTTAAACCCTAAACTCTAAACCCTAAACCCTATTGTGTCGATCTTGAATTTATATCTTGAAGTATTAATCGTGAATCCATTAACCGTAATCTTTATATAGTAAAACAATGTATTTTCAAGAGGTTTAGTACCTAAGCTTAGGTTATTTTGTTTAAAGTAATTATTGTGTTGTTGTATGTATAAATGTGGGCCAATCAAATTTATTTATTTTAAGAAAGTGATTAGTATATATTATTGAATTAAATATAATTGAAAAAATCATCTTAATTAATTACAAGGGTAATTTAGTCAATTAATGTAGATTTCTTAAAGGAAATTTTTTTTAGGGATTATAGATTCTATAAATTTTAAAAATCTGATTTTATTTTAATTCAGAAATTCTGACAGAATATGTTTATGAGTATGTTGAAAAATAAAAATATTCTTGAACCATAAATATTAAAAATATTATTAAACCTATTTCTTGATCATGACTTTAAAAAATTCTTGTAGAATAACAAATTCT